CGTTAAAATAGTCGAAGCCAATAAGATTTGCGAGTCCCATTCGGTTTACTTCTCCAAACCCCCAAATAACAAATAAAAAAGTTGATCGAATAACTTTGTGAACTAAACCATAAAATTTGGCTACATTGTAAGCGAAGATTGCCATATTGTTTTTCGAAAATGGGGTAGGAAATTGGAGAGGCCACAAAATTTACCCTAAGCCTTAGAGTTGGACGATTGCTCGCCGTATCCAGGGTCGGAGCTCGCGAGGCCTCTAATGCACATTGCCTTCAAATTTTATTCATACGTTTACTTGCTGGAACGCTGGCAAAGGTGGAGGACGGCATCACAATAGCGCCAAGTCGACTCTTCCCGAGACTTCAATCTCAAACTTACGCTCATCATCTCTCATTCTCCACCTGCGAGGTCCGCTTAACCTACTTTTGTACATATACTTGTAGATCCTTCATAAAGGGTAACACAGGCGAGAAGATCCTTAGAAAAAATAATACTTGTCTGAAGATATTTTAAAATGAGTAATAATTTCATTAATATCTTTTAAAATGAGTAATAAATGTCTGGATTTTTTGTTAAAAAGGGTAATATTTGCATAAAGTTTCTTCATAAAGAGTAATAGTTGCATGCCTAAAAATGTAATATTTGCCGGAATATCCTTCTAAAAAAGTAATAGTTGATAATTATTTACGATAAAGAGGTGATAATTGCTTGAAGATTTCTTTAAAATGTAAGAATTGCCTAATGATCATTTAAATAGGTCAATACTGGCCTGAAAGTCCTTTAATATGATCATACTTTCCCGAAAAAAAAACTTTTAAAACGAGTAATAGTTGCCTGAAAGTTCTTTGGGATGAGTAATACATGCCTGAAGATCCTTCAAGATAAATAATGACGTAGGAAGGTGAAGGTTCCTCTTGTATGTGTATAACGTGATATAAGACGAATTGGATGAGCAATGCTAACTGAAAGGAATTAAATATACTTACCAGATAATTCTTTTGGATGAGGAATACTTGCTGGATAATTTTTTGAATGCGCAATACTTGCCTGATGATTCTTCTGAATGATTAATACTTGATGTATGCTCCCTTTGTATAAATAATATTTCCTACGAGATATGAACGGCATCCTTTACTTCATATTTTAAGAAAGATTCAGTTGAAAATGCCGACGGTATTCTTATTCCAAGATAATTTTAGAAATACAACATTATCTTATCGATAGCTATACATTTTGGCTCGTGTCAACTTGCGTATAATCATCGCTTTAGTTAAAAACACATTCGCAAACTCCGAAATTACGATTTAGAACTTCGCTTTCTGCGAAGCTTGGATACGAACAATACAAAAATTATAAGCTGCTGCATTATTATTATTATTATTATTGCTATTATTCTGATTTTTATTTTATTATTATTATTATTATTATTATTATTATTATTATTATTAGACATTAGACTGCTTGCTTTCTAACAAGTCATTGAATCCACTCAACGTATCGCCAGCGCTGATTTACTTTCACGATGAGCTGATTAGTTTCTCTGCAAACGCTGCTTTTGAAGTAGAAACGTTCAATCATTTCATTTATTTGTGACTTGGTAGTGACATACACGCATAATAATGGCTCTCAGCGGAGTGTAAACAGAGAAAGATGTCGATCACTGCAGCGCTGAAAAAAGAAGTCCTCGCGTTTGTTGCAGTTTGGAGTCGGTCTGTCGATATCGTATGCATGGCTTTGTCAGAGCAACAATTAGTGGACGTTACTAATGCTCTTTGATATCGAGTTGGAAGGAAATTGCACCTGAGAGAGTGTGATGGGAGAGCAAGGATCGATGTGGAGCAGAAAGCTTTGATAGACATTTATATAGTCGCTTCTTCGCATGCGATCTACTGTCAAGTCCCGATCCCTTACTCCACTTATATATACCTTCATTAGCAATCAAAGTCAATTTCATAGTATTCACGATATTAGTGATATTTAGTTCCGATTAAGTGATAGAACGTTAAAATAATTAAATAAACATCATTGATTTTAAATCACCATCTTCTAGCAAATCTTCGGAGCTCTCTTCAAAGATAAGGACTAGAGAGGTATCACAAATAGATGATATGAACTAAATACATTACAGTACTTAAACAGACGCCACCGGTAGGCAAAGAGTATAATAGAAAATATCTTTATCCAATCGTTTTCTTATTACTCTCATATGATCTTCAATCACGCGAAGGTTCAAGATAAGTGTCTGATTAGCTGACGGTTTTAAAAGATCAAACGAACCATATTACTGACTTCCTAGTTCATGATCAACCGATCTTATCACTTCTTAGTATTCACGAAAACATATTTTCGAGCGTTTTTAAATTTCAACTAACACACAAACTAATTTTTTCTTGTAATACTTAGGACCACATGCTTGAATACTCATATAGCTATGGTTTAACCCTTACAAGCGTGCAATTAATTGATCAAATTTGGCCACTTGAATCGATGGTTTAAATTAACCCCACCCTCGCACTCTGGTTCGCAATTGAGGCTTAATTTTCATGACAGCCAATCTCCTATCACTTGTCTATTGCACTATACTTAAAATCACCCCGTGCCACGCATACGATTTCTAGTAGAAAATTAGAAGAGTATCAGTGACTTGTCTGACACGCCATTATTTTGGATCATTTTATGTCGCGGCTGTAGTCATGTCTTGGAAAACAATTCCAGTAACATGATAATATTGTGTTACATAATAACATGTTTTTTCCTCCATTTGGAGGTAAAGATTGATAATATTATTCAATTGAAGCGTAGTGAAAATTTATTAAGGATTCAGCAATCGCAAATTGCTATCTCAATACTAAGAATTCTATAAATTACTTACAGCATCAAACTTAGATTTTTTCATTGCGGTCACATCTGAGTAAGATAAAATGTGGTCTGGTAAAATAATTCCAACTTAAAAAGGAAATTTTTCAGTTAGATGAAATTTTTTGGTGATTAAATCGTCGAACATTTAAAGGAGCAGCTATCCATCAGTTAATAATATATTTGACAGGGACTGTAAAAATGTGCTTCATTCAGTGACTTAATTGATAGCAAAGCGATAAAAGCTTTGAATTCCTTGCTGAAATACGAGTATAAAGCTCCAAGGATTGATATGAAATGGGTATAATAAAGTTGTCTGAATATGGGTATTATTTATAAGAAAGCTTGATGATACTGGCGTTGAGATAATCTTCAAAGCCTGGCCTTTGAACTTCAAAATAATATATTAATCATATAACGGTATTAATCATCTCAACTACATGTAATAAATAAATAAATAAAATGAAAAATACAATATCAATGGCCATTTTGAAATAGCACGATACTTTTATAGCTTGATTATAATGAATGTGAAAGCGCACTTTCTCGAATGTGATGAAAAGGAACTTGCATTATTAGATATAAATTAGCGTTTGAGAACTGCTCACATAATTTGATAAAAGTCATGAAGCATTGCTAGACTTAAGTAAGACTCTCCTCCCTTGAGGTCTGAACGCAATGTAAGGAGCTTACACTGAAGAGCTGCCAAAGGCTGTACAACGTAGCTTCGGCAGCGTCCGCACTCTCGTGGTCGACATCATCCTGCTTTGCGAGCCTTTCACGCAAGAATCTTTATGCATAGCGAATTAGTTCGCACGGACGAAGTACTTACATTCAATATTTATCAAAAGAGCATGGCATGTGAAGAGCAAGTATGATTTGTCTAGAATGAGGTATGTGATGCATGCTGTGTTCGATCTCAGCACCGAGTGAAAACATTATTGAGAGCTCACTGATGAATCTTCGTCAGAAATCCATGTACACTGATGGTTCTCTAATGAATTTTACATGATAATTTGTCTTCATGGCGTTGCAACTTACATTGCATTGAGTCAATCATGACTTGGATGTGAATAAAACTTGCTTAAGAGCTTTTTAAAGCCTGAGATAGATCAGTGTTGACATGAAGCAATAAATCTATAATTTATTCGTAGCTAATGAGACATTTTCATGTCCAGTATTAACACATGGCGCTTAATGGTTCAATGTCTGAAATAATGTTCAGCTAGTCAGATGGGCCTATTTAAAACTTGTAATATTTTTCCGAAATATATGTTATGCATTTCGATTTTAATAAATCAAAGTGAAATTTAATTTCTCTTTCATAACATACAAATTTTGAAATTCATCATCTAATTAAAAATTTAAAAATATTTTAAAAACTTATTAATAATTTTTGTGTGGCAAGAAAACATGCTTCAAGCACTGACAGAATTTTCTAAAATTAATAAAAAAAATCAAGCAAGAAAATAATGAAGTGCGGTTTGATGGATGGCGTGGAACTGTATTATAAATAATTCATTAATTCACTAAAACCTAATTTAGTGAATTAATAATAAAATTTAGTGGAATAATAATTAATAATTAATTAATTAAAACCTAATGCGAGTATTCAAGTTAATACGAGTCTTCATAAGAGTTTCACTTTTTGTCAAATGATTAAGGCATTCACTACCCAAATATTAAAATGAATTTACTGGAGATACAGGACCAGCTTCGCGAAATTTGATAATAAAAAACAATAAACAAATCAACTAAAAGCCGATTTGTTGAATGGATTTGATCGTAGGCACGTTTCCGTCCATGGTAACGCTGTTATAAATTTCTAAATTTGGCTTCAATAGTAAATTAAAAGTAGGTCGTGGTTTAATGCGTGGAGTCAAAATTACAAAATAAAACTTGCAAACAAATTAAAGTGGGAATATTTACGTGCAACCTGTTTTTAGATTGAATTCGGAAAAATTTAGACGTGAGAGTTGAAAAATTAAGTAGGAATGAATTAAAAACCAGCAAATTTTGGTACTCAAAATTCCAATAGGTGAGAAAGCTGAGTCACGTCGTCGTTTTTAGAATATTCATGATACCAAATAAAATAATAGCAAGTCATTTATAATAAAAATATTCATAAAACGATGTGTAATACTTACTGCTGGTATCGACTTTGCCTTGCGTTCCGGGAGAGGTAGCCCAGTTGATCTTCATTTCCTGCAATGACAAAAATCGACATTAAACTTCAATTAGAAAGTCACAGCAAATCTAAAGATTTTTTAGCGCATTTTCACTTTTATGGAAAAATAGCGTTTTTGTGCTCGTCATGTCCGTCTGTCCGTGACTTAACGTTTTCGTCGACAAGGAAATGCGTTGTCACTCACTGCAGTGAGTGTTGAGTTATATTTTTATCAATATAAGACATAAGAAAATTTCCCAAAACGGAGTAAACTTTATGTAATGCAAAATTATTAGGCTTGAGGATAAATGTTATCTCGAATCAATCGTCATTATGCCGCATCTACGGTGCATGTCATCATTGAAGATTCACGGTATATTGTGGTCAAGCGTAATCGAAAATATATTTTAATAGTGATTGTTACTCTGTTAAAAGAGATTCATATTTTAATAATACTAGTCGATGCAAAGATTAAATTAGACTTTAAATTCATATTAACTTTTGTCCAAATGAATTTTCTTAGGAACAATGTCTTCAGGCTCTCGAGATTACCGTAAGTTTCGGATTATAAATTGCATAATTCGTGGCATTCTGATTACTGTCGGAAGAAACCAACGCATTTTCCTCCCTAATTCCAATCTCCAGAAACTTCTACTTTCATTATGAAAACATCGCTTGTTATTACTAACGCATGCATGAAATATCGTTACAAAATCTCAAACTTATTTCCCAGAGTAAACTGACTACTTGAGAGTAATATTTAATGAAGTGAACCACTCAAGTGTTGCACAAAAGAGAAGGCATTACAGCAATATATTGACGGGTAGACTTGCGGAAAGAACTGCCTCGAGGGTTCGCAACAAGCGTGCGAGGCAGAGGTTCATAATCTCGACGCCTGAGGTGAACTCGCTGGGAGTAAAATATTGTATTTCTGCTGATAACGCATGCTCAAAAATCACTGTGTATCGAGGCAATCAAAATTCTTGCTCCCCTTTGGATAGATTTTTTACTGGATCTTGCTCGCACATGCTAATTGAAAAGCAGACATTTTTGAATAGATGCAACCGCTAAATGCGTGGGGATTTAAGCTTCCTTTTAGAATATCTGTGATGCTCTGATGACCTTAGACATTTCGAAGCTGAGTAGCTCTTATTCACCTATGATCTTATGATGAGCGAAGGCATGACTGAGAGCTGTGTCGTGATGAGAGCTGAGAAGCTCATGTTCACCAACGATCATATGATGAACGAAGGAATGGCAGAGAGCTGTGATGTGTTGAGAGATAAGTAGCTCTTATTCACCTATGATCTTACGATGAACGAAGGAATGGCAGAGAGCTGTGATGTGTTGAGAGATAAGTAGCTCTTATTCACCTATGATCTTATGATGAGCGAAGGCATGACTGAGAGCTGTGTCTTGATGAGAGCTGAGTAGCTCTTGTTCACCTATGATCTTTTGCGACTGAAGATTGAGGACTGTCATGTGTGGCCGTTCAAGTATACAATTTTGTCCAGTAACAATATTTGAAATTGTAAATATTAAAAGAAATCAACTGATTTCGAAAATGACAGCAGAACTTAAGTAGAAAAAAAGTACAGATAGCATCCGTTACTTGGTTAGAAACTCTGCACTTGGGGGTAGATAATCTTAAAGGAGTTTGTATTGATTCCGAATGCAAGACAAATTCAAGAGAAAAAATATTAAACAAAACTTATTTTACGATTCGCTTGCAATTATAATCAAGCGACATTAACATGCAACAATGGAAATAATTACGTTCAGAAAATTTCAAGTTACTTTCATGATGGCTGCAACAATATAAGTTATAAGGCTGAAGTTACAATTCAGCAAAAAAATACTGGATAAATAAACGAAAATTAATTCGCTTAAGCAAAAATTTGAATTAAGTTTAAGTTGCAGCTCATATAGGGGCTAAAATATCAGGCAGAATTGTACAAATGCACAAATTCAGCTCAAATTTGGAGCCGTCATGACGGTATCTCGCAAATCACAGACCAGCCAAGTTGGTGCAGGTTCGAGGCCACCAAATTAGACAAGTTAATGTGATCCGCGTAGCTGATTATGAATCATTAAGGTGAAGCCTAATTTGTTCTGATTACAGCCGCTTATTGCTCCATCAAGTTAGAAGAGGAAGCCCAAGGTAATTTCACCGTATTATATCTCAAACTCAAGGTGAATAGCAAAAAAACGTGTAATTTTATCATAAACTTTCATCTTCGTACAGGGTAAGTAAAAAATTCACATATTAAATCGTTGGCTTATTTTATGTAATGCAAAATTGATTTAATTAGTTACTCACTAGGAGAAAATTTTTTGTTATTTAATGCTTTTACAGAGCGGCCGAATAGGGCAAAAATCAAAGAACAGTACATTATTCAGAAAAATTAGGTACAGGAATAAAATAACACATTTATTAAATAAATATTGAATTAGAAGCTCAAAATGACATTCTGAGTAATACAAGCCTACATTTTTCTCTAAAACTGTGCTCCTCGGTCAACATTTGTATAAGCGCGATTACACGCACTAGAACTTTATAATACATTTTTTATAATTTCCTTTGACATTCGTAATAAATAAGATCGTAAAAAATTATAGATGGTGTTGAAAATATTTCTGCTGAACATAAATTGCCATTCAAGCAAATTGGAATACGTTAAAAATATTTTATCGTACATTATATTCAGTGTTCATATTCAGCTTCGCTCAGAATAAATACGAGGGTAAGTTGTACAGCCTTGCGCTGGTGGGAGAAGCTGCTTTTCCTCAAGAGACAACCACATTCCAAGACGCTTTCAGCATCGGTGGAGATGCCATTCGCAGGAAACTGTTCCGTGCAACACGAATATAGTAAGTTTTTCAACAATTTTGTTCGAATTGCTGCAGTACTTCAGATTTCCACGGTGCATTCTGACATCAGAGCTAAAAATGGCATTAGAAAAGATTTCTTCATGGTGCACTGGGAAATAAACGGAAACTTGACCATTAGTGCAGCAAGGTTGCCGGTAAAAACCTTTCTCTATGGACCTCCAGCTCTGTCTCCATCCACTGCACCTCAGGTACTCACTTTCTATGTTGATCATTCCGTACAGCATCAAAATCACTTCGTTCCACCAGTTGAGTTTCACGAGCTTCCACATTAAATATATAAATCCGGTCTCTAGAGCTTAAAAAATTGGTTTCATCAAGCATGAAAAACATGCATTAATACGATATTCTAGCTGGAGATAGTATAACAGTATTTCTGGATAAATTAATACTGTATTCAGAATATCAATAATAATATAGTAGTCTAGCTAGAGGTTACAGTATTACTAGATACATAAATACTATAGTTTCTATTTCAATATATATACCTTAGTATAGCTAGAAATCACAGTATTACTTAGTACATGGACACTATGAAAACGATACCAATATTATTATTAATACTGTATACTAGCTATAATTAGGAACTGGCAATAATTTTAATACTGTAAAATTGATAGAGATTCAAGCATTACTGGATACATTAATGCTGTAGTAACAATATTATTCTCATTACTAGAGGCGGTAGCCTAGCTTGCCAAGCGTTTGCAAACAGCATGACAGAAATTGCGAAAAGCCATGACGGAAATTGCGAACAGCCATGACAGAAATTGCGAACAGCCATGACAGAAATTACGAACAGCCATGACAGAAATTGCCAACAGCCATGACAGAAATTGCGAACAGACATGACAGAAATTGCGAACTGCCATGAGAGAAATTGCGAACAGTCATGACAGAAATTGCGAACTGCCATGACAGAAATTGCGAACAGCCTTGACAGAATTTGCGAACAGCCATGACAGAAATTGCGAACAGCCATGACAGAAATTGCGAACAGCCATGGCAGAAATTGCGAATAGCCATGACAGAATTCCTTCCCGCAACACGTCAATGTTGACAAATATTTTCTTCCGCCAAAAATTATAGGAAAATCAATAGCTTAAAGGTTGTTATGCATCGTGAGAAACAAAACATATAAGTGAAAATGTTGTTCAATATGTTGCAGGGCAGAGCTGGCTGGTTTTAGGCAAGTGTTGGAATGAAATTGACAGGATTGATAAATATTGAAAGCACCGATATAATATAACGTAAATAAATGAAAAATGAAATACATTATTTCAAGTGCTTTGAGCCTAGAATAATATACACATTCAATGGCTCCAATGAAACAAAGAATTACTCTATAGACACATGCAGCAAGATGTGTAATTTCCCTCATCAAGTATCATCTTCTAACGTTAGGATGACATTCAGCATATACTGCACGCAAAAATGCAAAAGATATAATTTTCATTATAGCCAGTCTAATCAAATGACTACCAGCAACATCACGGTTATATTCATTTCATAATGCCATGTTGTATAGTTATTACTCTTCTCGGTCAACATGAAATGTGTTGGAACTTTGTAACTGAGCTCCCGAAGTGCACAGAAATTCTGAAGTCGAGGTGGGGATGAAGATTGTTAGTGAGGCTTTAAGCGTCTTAAATTTGAAAAAAATGTAACAGTATAAGTTTGATTAATTCTGCATCGTGTTTACTTATACACGAAGTGCATCGTCGAGTATGCGACGAGCATTCACTAGCAGATCTACATGCAGCTCTGAAATTGCAAGGTTTCTATAATGTGATATCTGAAAATATATTTACCTTGATAAGCACAATTCCTTCACTTCCCTTCATAGTGAATAGGGCAGATTCAGATAAAATATCAGGCAACCGTTCCAATGAAATTATCTGATACGAGCACCAAAATCCGCTAATGACACCAATCCGGTGGACTAATTTAGTAATTTAAGATTTTACTATACGTAGCGTAATTTCGAGGTTACTTGACAGGCTTTCTGTTGTTCTCAGAAAATAATTCTGTTCTCTGTCGGAAAAGTAGTTAAAGACAATATCGAAGCACAATAAATTTGAAAAAAACATTTACTTTGCGTAATGAGCAATTTTAATTCGGTTATTTTAAAATAACCTGAAATCCTGGT